TTTTTGTTGGACAATTAACTATAATGATTCTTGATACTTTATTTGTTATTGTTCCATTGAATTGTCTTGATGTGAAGAACTAAATTTGGTTTATATCACTATCTGCCGCATACATGTCAAAGTCGATATCGATAAACATTTATGTTTCATCGTTTTTTTTTTCTTTGAAACTTAACTATTCCTGAGAAACAATAAGAACTTCTCCTGAGCATCTCCATGCCTATTCGTATCTTTTTGTGAAATTTCACTTTAGAGCCACAGAGTGTCTGATTAATTTTTTTTTGACATTAATATACGTATGTGATCAAAAAAGCTGAGAAACGACATAGTTCGTCGGAGAGCACGTTTGAAGATGGATATCCAAATACTTGAAAATAATAAGCACATGTAAGGTAGACCAATTGTACTTGCAAACATGTCGATTCTGATTTGAAACTAACTCCAGTTATTTATCATTTATTCGATTTCTCTGCAGGACCTTGAGAAAAATACAGTTAACCAAGATTCTAACCTTGTGAACACTAAAAACAGATATCATTTTGGGAGAAATTCATGTAGAGATATGATAGAACTTTTAAGTTCGCTTTTATTTGCGTACAAGATTTGAAAAGAATGCACTGATTGAAATAGGTCACAGATTTATACGTATCTGAAAAGTGAACATGAATCTTTATGAAAAGCATAGAGAAATGTTAATTAACACGTGTTGGCGGGAAATGTGTCTGCGAAGACTTTCTATCAAAGGACGCTTCATCGCACTCTCATTGTTTCAAATGTGTGCTATTCATGACATATGATGGCATTGTTACGAGAGTGTGAAAGGAGACCAACAAATATATTAGAATGGAATTAACATGCTTCTATTCACATTACTGCTTTAATTATTGACTTATATTTTAAAATAGAAACTTAATTCTGTTTTCATCGGATAAAAGAGCTATTTCCATTTGGTTGCCTTTCATTTTCTTTCATGTGAAGGTAGATTTGATAATTACTTACCATTGTTATTAATTTTATTTGATGAAAAGTATAGATTAATGACGGCTTTGGTGAGTAACATCGATCCACCTTCTTCCTAAGCAATATGAAATTGACTAATAGTGTCTTTTTGTTTGATGTGTCAGATTCGGAAACAGAACGCGTTGATATTCTTCTTCGTTGGGTCTTCTTACAATGCGCTCTTATATTTGGTAACTAGAATAATGAAATGTCAAAAATAATTCACACTTTTCTTTCGTTCTATTTGATTCTTTCAATAAACACAATACTGGAGGTATTTTTTACATACGCTTTAATTCAACATGGGTTGTAGTTCATCACTAACGGGAAACGCATCGAGTTTATTAACAGCCGAACAGAGCCATTTTCTTGTTCGAGATACTTGGGCTGACGTATGCAACAAATATTACGAAGAGGTTGGCATCAGTTTTATGATTCGGTATGGTAAAATATGTTTTTAATTAACTCAATCATATTTATACCATCTATTTGTTAGAATTTTTCAAGATTATCCTGAGCTAAGGAAACTCTGGATTTTTCCTGCTAACCTTACAGTGGAACAAGAAATTCGCAATAATGCTCAAGTACGTTATCATGCTGCAAAAATCATGTATACTCTTAACGAAATTATTAACAATATCGACGACTATGACAAACGGCGTCGTATTCTCGAGGGTCTTGGCCAGACTCATTATGTGTACGATGTACAACCGGCCTACTTTCAGGTAGATTTTATTGATACATACGAATGAAAATTTCTATTATTTTATTTGAGATAGGCCGCTAAATCCGCAATGGAACAAGTATTAAGCTCGATACTGGGAAAAAATTTTACGCATCGTCATAAACAAGCATGGGTTTATCTGTTTCAGCAGATTGTTGTCGACTTAGGGAGAGGTGTCGAACAACAAGTAGTTCTTGCTGATCGTTTCAAGAAAAAACCTCAAACCGTTACCGAAAATTGAACGTTGTCATCATTAAACCTTATTTTTTCTTCAAACTATTAAAATTTAAATAAATTGCGGTTGAAGAGAACAGGCGAACCTAACAACCACAGCCTTTTGTATTATTAATATATAGGTTTTAAAAGGTCGTAAAAGCCTAACACTGTTCATTTTTTCTCTTGTCAAGTTATTTCGAAAATGATCTCAAGTATTTAATTCTCAATTGAAGAATATTTATGATTCAATTAATAAATATGTTTCTATAACTACATTCATTTGGAGATTCTTGGATCGACTACTTAATACTGTAGCTAATAATTCAAAATGTCTTTTCTCCTTGTAATATTCATTTGAAATAGTATTAAAAAGTATTTTAACTTCATTGGGAAATACATAATTAAAATACGATTTAGCAATAATTTTTGAGCAATTAAAAACCTTTATTTGAGTAATTTCATATTATTAAATGTGCAATAATTAATTCATTAAGTAGCAGTAGTAATTTCATATTTTAGCAATAAAACAAGAAAAACTACATTATTTTATACGAATTAGAGAAATAAAAAAGTTACTTACAATTAAAAAAAATGAAAAATGAAAAAACAGTATAGTATTGTGTGAATAAAGCGTTTTTTTGCTTTAGATGGTCTGCCTCTTTTTATTTTTATTTTTTCTTTTGTAAATTGAAAAAATACGTATTTGTATATATAAATGAATCCATATCGCTTTTTGTTAACGGGTGATTGATCTAACAGATCAATACTGAACTACTACTTTATTGCAGAAATGGTAACTATATATAGTTATATATGAATGCGCTAGGAAAAAACCAGATACCCTAGAAAGAGAACATGACGAAGAAGGGAATATACCTGAACAACATCAAGAGAAGAGACATACTCAAGTGGAGGAAAGGAAAAAAAAGAGAAGGACAACAAAAGATATATGTATATGTTGGAGTTGATTTTAAAATTCGATCTCCTTTTACAGGGGACTAGTTGATTTTGAAATATTTTAAAGTCAACTCCGACATATATGTGTCGTGCTTATTATCTGTACGACATCGTAGAAGAGAAGAAAGGAAAAAAAAGATATATAAACAAGTCACACTATAACACGCTTTTTATATAAAATCTATCTCATATTATATTTAACTTTAATTTAAATAAATTATTGCTCGTTTCATATAAGGGTGTGAGTGTGAGTGTGCATAAGGGTGAATGTTAGTAAAATAAGTGCTATACCCACACCCCGAATCGTTCAATTGCATTTGTTTATTCAGATTTCGAACGGCCAAAAGAAGTCTATTTAATTGGCAATATGAACCAATTACAATGAGCAAAAGCTATAACTAACGAATACAAACTTTTTGCTCAACGAAGTTTGCTTCTAGGTAAAGTTTAAAAATAGGTCAACAATGAAGATAATCGTACGATCGAAGGAATTTTACATTATCCGCCGGGAAAGTTTCAATATAAAAATTTGGCACTTTTCGTTTACATTCATGGTGGTTCTTATGCAGCATGGGCCAATCACTTTGATGCAAACGCATAATATTGGATTTCACTTGCCACCTCAGAAGGCTGGCTGGTTTTAGAACCCGACTATCAAGGATGCATCGGGTATGGCGATCAGTTTCTCGCTGAAATTTTTCATCAACCTTTATCTCGTCCTGGAAGAGATATCCTTTCGGAAATCGATCGTCTGATTAAAGACGGTATTGCTGATCCGAATAGTCTTGCTGTTGGAGGGTACAGTTAAGGTGGTTTTCTAACAAACTGTCTGATTACATAAACTACACATTTCAATGCTGCTCTGTTCGGTGCTGGTACAGTCGATTATGCTTCTGCTTGGGGCACGGTGGATATGCCTACACTTGTGAACGATTTGTTCGGTGACTTTCCATGGGAAGTACCGCATATTTACCAAAATGAATCTCCCGTCTATCAGTTTGATAAAGTGCGTACACCTACACTCATTGCCACAGGCGAAAATCATATACAAGTTCCTGTTGATCAAAGTTATATGTCGGAACGTGCATTACATTATCTTAGAGTACCTGTTCAACTATTACTTTTTCTGACGAAAGGACATTTGTTCAGGAATGATCCTTGGCGTGGAAAAATAAAAGTTCAACAAGAACTAAAATGGTTGCAAAAATATGGCCACACATCCTCGACTGCAATGAAAATCTGAACTTGAATATTTAAAAAATAATAACACCTACTTTTGAACGTCAGCAAACAGTAAAGCATGTTTCGTTCTTCGTCATCCAATGTGATTTGTGAGAATGTTGTGATTAGAACACAAAGATACTTCCAGGGAGAGGGCGCTTGCAATTAAACAGATTGTAATGGTTGAGAGTATCAGTACAAGGTTGTTTGCATCCTTTTCGAGGTCGTTCCGTGTTCATTCGTACTAATAATACAAAACAACTGAAGTAAACTTTTTCTTTTCTCTTCATTTACTCGATTTTTTCTTGTGTCGAAAGGTTATCAGAACGATCAAGGTGAGAATAAGGACGGTATTATCAAACCAATACACCTTTAAATCTGCTCAAATATTTGCTTTGGTCCCCATACAAATCTATTCAACTCTACCGATTCTAGTCGCATATTTTATTTTGCGTTTTGTCAAAAGGTAAAAAAAAGAGGACAAGATGAATTTGGTTCTTTATTTTCCTTATCTCTCTCTCTCTACTGTTGGTAGAGACAAAATCCTTGACTTTCATTTTGATATTCTGTATTTTTAGTTGCAAAAGAGATGACTTCAGAACAGCAGTTTACAGTCGCTGTTTTGGGTTTGGGCGCCATGGGTAGTGCAATCGCTGAAAACATATTAAAAAATGGTTATAAACTCGTTGTTTGGAATCGAACTCAGTCTAAAACAAAAGTATATTCATTATTGTTTAAGTTTATTCTTATTTGTGAACTCTTCTTTGGCTTTTATTGCTAAAAGGCATTCGTAGATGCTGGCACCATCTCTGTTGCAACACCCCGAGAAGCGGCTCAACAATGTGACGTTGTCGTTAGCTGCTTGTTTGATGATAGATCAGTTATGGAAATAACACAAGGTAAAAGAGAGAAAGCATAAAAGTTGTACCGATTTCAACTATATTTAATTAGGCGAAAATGGTCTTTTGGCTGGTGTTCGAAAGGATTCAATTCACGTTAGTGTAACAACTATCAGTCCAATGGCAGCGACACAATTGGCAAAATTACATCAAGAAAAAGGTGCACATTATATTTCCGGACCCGTGAGTAAATCTTATCGTCTTTTGGATGTTTCATACAGAAAGTCTAAGCTTACAAGAGTTAGTCAGGACCGAATAAAGATAAACTCATCTAAAGCATATCATCGTTATATTTAATTGATGCACTAGCATAGAACCTAGGACATCTTGTAAATATCGGTGGTATACATCGATATGTTGTGCAATTGCAAGTCTCATGCGATATTGCATCCAAGAAACGTTGTGCAATCGTTCTTGAGCAACACCCAGAATGGAGTGATTCACCTGTCGCATATTTTGAGAAACAAAAAGGTATTATTGAACTATGCTTCTCGAAACGAGTCATTTTAGTATAATGTGTCATACTGTGAATATCGACAAGTGTTAAAATACAAGAAAGTGATGTTTTCCTCAGCTCTGGTCTCAGCTTAATGAGAAATTTCCAACTAACGAAAGTTTTTTCATAACTATAGTCCATGAACTGAGTTATCCAGCCTTTTCTCTTTGCCTATTTTCGAGGTCCTTGGCCGTCCGGATGTTGCTGCTGCCGGCAAACTTCGTACATTTCTGGGCGGTCCTCAATCCATTATCGATTGCATTACCCATATCCTCCAGTGTTACTGTGGCGGTGGTCTCATTTACGTCGGAGAAGATCCTGCTCATGCTTGCGTTCTTAAACTTTCGGCCAACTTTTGTGCATCATCAATAATTGATATGTACGGTCAAGTTTACGCATTGAATGAAAGATGGAAAGTATCTACTGATATTACAAAACAATTGTTTAACTTGTTCTTCACACATCCTGGCCTCCTGGCATACAGTGAAAAAGTGCGCACTCGAGAATATACAAATCAAGGTGGTGTTGCACTCCGCGGCGGATTGAAAGATGTCAATCTAATGTTGCAAATGGGCGAAGAAGTAGGTGTGCCATTGCCGTATGCCGGTGTTATTCACGATCATATTGTAACGGCAATTGGAAACGGTCTGGGGGACAAAGATTGGTCGGCATTTGCCGAATCAGCTAGATTAAATTCAGGAATGCCACAACAAGAGGAGAATGACAGTTCGAGAAAGTAATAAATGTAGTTTATTTTGGCAGTTTTTGTTGTTGCTCTACTATGCATGACAATTAAATTTTCCTGCTTGGTTTTTCCTGCTTAAGACTATTGCAGTCTTGCTGTATTTGCGATAATCAGTATATTTCGAGAAAGTTCGAATTTCACTGCGTCGCATGATATATATGCTTATGCTTCTTCAACGTCAAGCTCCAAGAAAGAAATCGAATTTCTTTTCTTGCTGAAAAATAAGTTCCATAGCGATTTCAATGTTCTGGGATCTTTGGAGAAAAATTCTCCATGATTCAACAAAACAGAAATCACTTTTATTTTCTTAGAGCGATAGAAAAAGCATTTGAACACTGGAAGCACTTTGAAAATGTCAGCGAGTTTAGATACGATTATCGATTGATATCAATTGTCTATTGGCCGGTTGAAGTCTTCGAATGTATTCGTGTAATTGATGCATGATGACAGAAACCACGAGTGTTAGTATAGTAGTTATTCCGCCATACAAACAGAGCAAGGTTGTTATGACATAAATCACGTTGTATCATTCGACGCGTGTGTACAAACAGCACGTTGGTAAACATTGGTGGAAACAATTTTCATACGACACATTGGATAGCCAGAATTCAATGAAGATTTGCTGAACGATGATATCTTCTGAGATATTCAAAGCTAATTGAGAACCAGTATAATTGAGTGGTATTAAAGAACAGTTTGCGTTTACATACAAAAACATTCGAGAGTCGATCGAAGAAAAGACTCTAATGGGAAACATGAAAATATAAAGCCAAGAACAACAGGTGTTGAAGGCTGACTGCACAGAGCTCTAACGGCACAACTGCAGTCCCGTAAAATTATGATCTTAAATACAGAGTGCCATTAACAGTTAAATTACGAGGAATAAAATCCCAATTAGTCCAATAGACTGACACGAGGCGAGCGTCTTGACCAAGACCACGCAACATTTGGAGAATTTCCACGAAGTTAATCGATAACAATAGTTTAACATTTTCAGCAGATGCTTCATTTTTTTTAATTGCATAATTCAAAATCAAGCATCTGAGCTGAAACAACTTCTGTGACAAGAAAGAGATCACAAGCATCGATCATCGCTTGCTTGACTAAGTCGCATGGGCTCAAGTTCGAAATGTGTGAAACGAGTAATCGACATTTTCGTACACAAATATTTGATCATAGTAGAACCGTATAATTTTTGTAAATGTTCATAATCTTCAAGAGAAGAAATTTTTGCGATAATATCATTGCTTCGATAGATCAGTGATGCGCAGACAACAAGAATTAAAAGAAAAACAGAGAGAAGAACTATATAAACACGCGTTGATTGTTGTTGAACGTGCAGTTCATGTTCTTTCACGATTGGTTTGTTTATATTTTCACATAAATTCAAATTGACTATCGTCTGATGTACTCTCTTGACTAGACCGATTCATTTTATCAAAAGACTGGCGCCTAAATGAGCGAAATATTCTTTTCATTTCGTAACTGTTACGATTATCAGATGTGACTTCACGTATTGTTTTTTTTACTCTTCAAATACCTTTGGCTTTGTACGAAAAACTAAATCATAAGCAATGCGATGTGTAGCTCACCTTGTTCAGCTGTAATGTTTCTTGGCACGTGTCGAAGTCGACGACGAAAAGAGACACATAACGAGACGATATATAATGAGAATAATTTGAAAACTGTGGATAATCCTCCAATGGGATTTGCAATAGTGGTTACAATTTTCAATAGGAACGTGTGATGAACTGATTCATGTGAATGATATTGCGGATTGCTTGTATCAAACGTAATAAATGATTTGGTGTTGTTGATTGAAATTGTTGAATTAGTAAGTTCATTTCGTGTCGGAATAACGCAGGTTCTAGGAGCTTAGCTCTTACAATCTGGATTTTTCCGAATTCATAAAGCGCCTTAGTCACTGTTATATTAGCCAAAGCACACATTGATCGAAGAAGTTGAAACATAGAACCACTAGCGGTGCGAAAGTCCGTATTATATTAAACCATTGACAGTCAAATTATCAATTTCAATAAGTCCGTCGATCTATTTTGCTATGATCCATTCGCTTGAACAAACTTGATGATATTGAGGGTCTGGGTCCCAGACAGACAAAACTTTCGGAAAACGCGTTTAAACGCACAATCGGGAACCGCGACTGTGATCCATTCACGCTCATTAAAAAAACGCAAGAAACGACGTTTTTTGTACAAAATAGTCACTTTTCAAGCGTGAAAACGGTGGA